ACCGTATTGTCTCGAAATAACGCCCCGGGTGTAGGTTAAAATTTTGGCCCGAATTAAGCTTAATTCGGCCTAAATGAAACTTAATTCGGGCCAAAATTTTAACCTACACCCCGGGGCGTTATTTCGAGACAATACGGTAATAAAATTTATTATATAACCACATATGGTTTTAATTTTACATAGTACACCGCACACCCCAATGTCACGCGACTTTTCTAAGTCACGATATTAGTAAAACACTCTGGTTTTATAATAGTAACATTACTATTTATTTGTAAACCATTTTTGTTATTGATAGACCCGAAATATGTGACAAAAAAATACATAGGTATTCACATATAATTCGAATTATTGCACCTTAAATAACTATTTAATTATAATAATTGAAGTTACTGTATTTATCAAATCCATAATACGTATCAGAAGTTTCAAAATGTTAAGTAATACTGCATCGGCTGAAGAGTACGTGTCAAAACCACCATATCGGTATACCGGTGTACTTGTACGTAACAAGTGACAAATAAAATTAAAATTTTGATGCACAAATTTAATTAAATTTACCAAACAAATTATTTATTTGAGAATTTAAGTAACCATCTCGGTTTATCGTTATGTTCATTCTTATGATCATTACAATTTATTCATGATACCCGTAATGTAAAAGTCTGCACTTATTTAAATCGAGTATTTGAACTTTTTAAAGTTATCTGCGTTATTCTACGTATGATGTTAATAAAATCCAAAAAAGTCTACATATTACAATGGATGAATAACACATGATCACACCTGAAAAGCTAAGGTTTCTTTCTTAGCAGATTTTATTCCACATAGTATTTGTGATGTTTTGTTTACAATTGTAGAAAAATGAAATTAAAACTAAAAGTATGGCAACCATTTTATCTTTTAGTGTAACGAATAATAAAATCGGTAATACTTCTAATACTTATTCATATACTTATTCGTGTACTTATTCGTGTAAGAGTTGATTATAATTATACAGCATGTAGTTTATAACAGATAGAGAAGTATGTTATACACCAGTGGACATTTAACAACAGTACAAAAAAACAATGTACATACGTACGTAGATGAAGTACAAAAAAAGATCATTGCCGAATGAAACATAACAATTGACACGAGTACTATATACACGGAATAACATTTTGTTGTCCCTAATAAGACTGACAGAACACATCTTTGCATCTTCTTTTTCATTAATGAAGCGAAAAATGTTGCTGAATTTATTGTAACAAACATGAAGCAATTTTTTATAGTCTTCAAATCCTTACTATCGAATTTTCATGTTTTCTCCATTTGATCCGACTCCCCACTCTAACCTTTATAGTCATAACTTCTTATCATCCACTATCATTTTGAATTATCTACCTTTTCATCTCAATCCTTTAACCTTATTCTTATCCAAATTATCCGAATCAACATCTTCTTATCAGGTCTCACCTGGCCCATTATCCGACATCATTTTCCACTCATAATTTATCAAAGATGGTTAATTTACATATTTCCAAAATTATTACGATACTTTGCTTTTACAATTTTCTTGTTCGTATTAATAGAATCAACGTTAGCTAAATCACATGATTCAGTTAACACGGAATTAATTGAAATACAGCCATCAGAAACTTCAGAAACAGAATCATTAGAAACAGAACCTATTGAAACAAAATCTTCAAAATCATCAGATCTAGTTGGATCAAAAACTTCAGAAACAGAATCATTAGAAACTGGTTCATCAGGATCAAAAACTTCAAAATTAAAATCATCAAAATCATCAGAATCATTAGAAACTGGTTCATCAGGATCAAAAACTTCAAAATTAAAATCATCGAAATCATCAGAACCAACTGAAACTGGTGTTCCTTCGTGCCCTCGAACTACATCAATTTCTAGTGGACCTGTAAAAAAATACATTATGAAACTTTCTTCTAAAAAAGTAGCACATAAGCATTATACAATATTAGAAAAGTGCTTTAATAAAGTTGTTGAAACAAATAATAGTCTTTCTAAACGTGATAACAAAGCTCAACCTAAAAATAAAGTCATTCCATTCACAATTGGAAATTATACTGGTTATTTAGCATTCTTTCCTTCTGATGTCGCAGCGGAATTAAATAAATTGGACGCAATTGATGAGGTCATAGAAGATATTCAAGTTAGTCTTGCTGATAATTGCTATTATGAATCTCAAGATGTCTCTTCTGGTCTTGGACTACCTGTATGTAAATTTTTTTTTTTAAAAAAAAAAATTAACATTGTAATTATAATTAACCTTATTTCATAACCCAGAATTTAAATCGTATTGATTAATCCGACTTTCCGTTAGATGGTTATTATAACTATCCTGGTAGTGGGGGTGAAGATGTAACTATTTATGTTGTAGACACGTAAGCTACTAAATTACATGTTAACTTAAAAGTATCTCGTTTATCGTTATCATTATTCGTTATTTTTTTAATTATTATTTTTGTTTACATATATATAAAGTGGTATTAATACCGATCATGAAGAATTTGGAGGTCGGGCAATACTTTCTTGTTATTTAATGGATATCTGTGAATACAGTATATTCCACGGGTTAATAGTAAAATCACGTGGCCGCAGGCCACGTGGTTTTACTATTAACCTGTGGAATACACTGTGTTCACAGATATTCATTAAATAACTAGATTATTTCATGGGTACG